TGACACGGTCACCGGCTGACTGTTACGACTTGGTGCAGACGCTGGACCAGATAATACATTACCTATCTCTGTGTTCCACACCGTCTCACCATTAACTTCCTTCTTGCTGTGCAGTGCCGCGTTGATATAGTCTGCACCAATCAGCATATGTATTTCGTCTGATGTCCCTTGTTGAGGCTTGTCACTCAGCTCTACTCCCCAACTGTGCCACTGCGCAATGGTCTGCGGACTTGCGGACTTCAGGTCCAGCTCCAGCGTTGGTTTCACGAACGCGCGTACCCGAATGCTAGCGGAGCTACCCTGGATCGTGATTGCGTACTTATCCATGCGCTGTTGGGTTGGTTCCGCGCCGAACGGCTTCACCTCTACATTTTCAACCCCAACGTGTTCTGCATCGATTGCTGACACCAACGTTGCAGTCACGAATGACGCCTCAGCACCCGAGTCCAGGAACACGCGAACCTTCGCGTTTCGAGTTCTTCCCTCAACTCGTGCCACTCCGGTCATCAGCCGGACACTTGGCGAGTGTAGACAGCACGATCCAACATTCTTCTCCGTTACTATCTCAGTCGGTTTCTCCCGGCTGTAACCTGCTCTATCCAACACATCATGTATTAGCAGGTGGTGTTTCCTCTGGCATTTCGTGCATCTCGCGCCTGACCGACATTCTCTGGCCATATGGCCATACTTAAGGCAGTTCCAGCAGAGTTTCTCTCGCTGCAGAAAACCCTTTCTCCCTTCCTGTGGCAGCGACTTTAGCTGCTTCTCTGCATCTGCGACCGATATCGCCATGCACTGTGCCGACGCCGTGGGCCTTGGCACGGATCGTTCTACTGGCTTCCTGGCAGTATCACCCTGTCGTCCGTGTGCGACCTGGTAAGACGCGCCGTGCTCCTGTACCTGGCGCAGAGACATCCCGTAGCACTGCCGTTCGACCAGGTACGTCTTCATCTCAGGTCCGCATTGCTCCAAGATTACCTGCTTTGCCATTGCTTGCAGCACCAGGGCCATTTTACCTATATCGGCGTTGGTGTCCACCTCACCATCTTCTGTCATAGCGAGTGTGGCCCACACCTCTACCTCTCGGCAAACACGGACAACGTATTGATGAAACGACTCATCTGACCGCTGCTTGCCTGTCAGCAATGTCTTCCACGCTTTATCCGGAGTCTTTCCGAGCGAGGCAAGCAACTCTCGCTTTGCTTTCTCGTAATTGTTGTATCCAATACATATCCTCTCCGCTTTGCTACCCGCTAGCGCGATGCGCAGTCGCAGCAGCCATTCGCTTTCTTCGAACTCGTTCTTGGAACAGATGTCCTCGAACAGGTAAAGATAACGCTCCAATGGCTGCGTTCCATCATATGAGGGGATTTTCATCAACGTTTGACGCCCCCCGCTGTGACAGGAAGCTTCCTCTGTACCTCCCATCGTGGCTTTACCATCACCCTCATACGCATTGGCGATGCGCTCGTTAATCTCCTTTAGTGTTTTGTCAAACTCGGTGCGGAGCGCTTCCTCTCGCCGTCTGGCACTGCGCTCCTCACGCTCCTCGTACTGTTGGAGCCTCTGCTCCACATGTTCCATCAACAACTCGCCTTCTAATCCTAACCGAACTCCATTGGCGATAAAGCTGGCTTCCAAATTGTGTAGTTGCTCTGCCATGCTCGCTCCTATCCTGGCGTGGTCGCCAAATGTTATGAACCCTCTGAGATTCTCTAAATTGTCAGGATCGTACGACCACACGGCACGAGGACAACTCTTTTCCTTTACACAGTATATTTCACTTCATCGAATAATTAACAATGAACACTAATAACACCAGCTATTTATAGCATGCAAAAACAGCGTACATGCAAAACATACGCATATAAAACTGGACATAACAGCGTATACAGCAAAACGCACATAGCGCATATAGCGTATGCCATGCAGCAACATCAGCGGTACGGCGGAGTCGAAATACAACATTGCAACGAATACAATGCCATAAGCGCGAAGGCCTTTCCCAATTGAGAACTGGTGGTTTGCAACACCAGGAGTTGATGGCGAAGCATTCTGGTCTGCACAGTACAAGGCAAAGAACAATTATGAATTATAACGCATTGCAATCCTTCCCACACGTCTTTGTAAAAACAAACAAGCAGTGCCATTATCACAACACTTGATCAAGCATATTTATTGATGGAGGTATTTTCCATTGTGCTGGCCAAGCATCTGCACCAGGAAGACCATGTACACTTACAAGTATCTTGTGTGTGTGTTTCTGCGTGTGTGTGTGTGTGTATCCGTCTGTGCACACGTGTGTGTGTGTGGGGGGGGGTGGACGCATATGTGTATGGGTAGGAGTGTGTGTGTGGGGGGGGGGGGGGGGGGTACACGCACATGTGTATGGATGTGCGCGCTGCATGCATGTGTCTGTGGGATGGGGTGGGGGTGCACGCACATGTGTACATGCGTGTGCGCAATATAGCATGCTTGTATTGTGTTCGTTGAACATAGGGAGTCCTCCTGATTCCATAAACTTTGTGATCATTGTGATTTCATGTGCTTTGAAGTTGAAATTCGCAATACATGTACTAATGCTTGATTAGATTTATATGTTCCACATGTTTTATTTATTTTATTTTACTTCAAGCACTTGTACTATCAAGCACAACCCTACCGATGAAGGGAAAGAAGCAGCAGAGACACCTACTGAATCAAATGACTGCCACCGTCAGTTCTCAAACAATAACAATTTTTGTCAAATTGAAAAATCTCACCTGTTAGTGTTGCTCACTAGCCACTAGTGACTCTAGTTGTTCGTCCACGAAATTTGCAATATGCCACTACGGAACCAGCAAGAGTAGGTAAGTTGGCGTAGAGCAACAGCTATGCAAAGCCATGTTCATCTCCGCTTCATTTTGGAAGGCAGTACAAGAACCCTTCATACCTCGACATTGCCTTGGAGTGGAAGCAAATTCACCATGAGTTTTCCAATTCGCTATAATCGATCTTGGGGTGTTGATCGTGTCTTCTTCATCACCAATGCAGGTTGGACAGCCTTCGGGAAGACATGTGTCACTCTCCTGCTCAACAGATACCTACATCTAGATTTGGGTACCGTCAGGGAACGAAATAGAGCTGCAAAACACCAAAGTAATTGTTTTCTTCCATTCGATTACACTGCTGAGCATGCACAGCATGGTGACAGCTAAGCAGTACGCACGTCATAAAGCCCAATTTCCAAATATGGAAGGTGTTATTTATGAAATTTGACACGGTTCCTCTTCTCTGATCGGCTCGAGACATATATAGCTCATCGGAATCAGTGCCCAATTCTCCTTCGGATAAGCCATACTTAGTTTTGGCGTTCAGTTTCCCTTTAAAATGGGAACACGTGACCTGGCACAAGGGAAACATAGATGCACTGAATGAGATGTTGGGTCTTTGACCCCTTGGGTGGTGGGTTTGATCTACTTACCTCCCACCGCTTTAGGAGCTGAATCTTTACCTCGATCCTTGACGTTGGCGGCTTTCATGCAGATGCGGAAAACTTGGGTTAGCCGAGTCTCTACGAGACTCGTACCGCACAAATGTCGTCCAACGGGACAGCAACCAAACCAGCACATGCACATCACGTGACCACAGAGGATACTATCTCATTTGGTTTCCATAGTTGGAAAATCTTCGGACAGCTGTTTCGCTTGTTCATGCCCAGTTGTACACGGGTAAGTGTGATAGAAAAACTAAAAATAAATATTATCACGGTTCGCATTAGACTCGGCTGGAGACCGAATTTTCAGCATCCACTGTCATCCACTGGGACGCCAACACCCTCACAGATCAACGAGCAGATGCAACTTCTAATGCGGTGGGAGGCGAGCAGATAAGATCCACCACCAAAGTGGCCAAAGATCGAGAATCACATTCGCTGCATCTATACCTCCCTCGGTCCAGGCCACGAGTTCCCAACTAACTGTGGGTCGCAACACGGTTGGAAAAAATCCTTCCACTACAAAGCAGGACTTGAACCTGGTACCCGGGCCTCTGTTTCTAACTCATGGTCCTAGACCATCCCACTATGCCTGCCTGCTATTTATGAGAATGAAGGGGCTAACTACTGGATGTGCACAACACAGGGCGGCAAATTGACTCAAGAAATCACCAATCATAGCAATTACTGCAAGTACAACTCAGTGAAAGCTACAATATGTGGTGCAGAGGCATCAATAAAATCCATGTAATGAGCATTGCAGAATGTATTCACAGCAAGAAGTTTGACAGTTGATATACATGGATGTACATGTACATCAGAACAAGTCAGTGTAAATACCGAACTTGCCAAACCATACCACTTTGTAAAATACTGCTGCAGGCAAGTAGAAAACGTGCTTGAAGTATAACACACTACTACAAACAATAGGCATCAAGCAGGGAGTAGTAAAACACCGGAATTTTATTACTCTCTGGTACATGTATCAAGTTTTTGTCTCCATACCGATTGCGGGAAAAAAACGAAGGCTGTTTCCAATGGAAATCACGAAGCCCGCTAATAGTCTAGCCAAACGACTTGAAACGACAAATTGATAAAAAAAATTAAAAAAGGAGAAACGTGTTGAAAATACATCCACTGACGATAGGATGTCAGTTGATTCTAATAATTATAATGCTAGCAAAGCACTACTGTATCGACATTGTACAATTTTCTATTCAAACATTGTAACTTCTAGTAAGGATCTGCATGGAGTGCAAGACGATCTGCAAAAGATACTTGGAAGAGAAGAGGAAATGGAAGCTAGCATGTCTAGAAATGTATGGTATCATGCACTGGCATTGTGGGCAGGTACAGCAAGACAACACCGCAGTCCTACCTGCCCATTGCTCAAATACATACAAAAACATGTATATGTGACGATTAAAGCTCTGGATTCGCCAGGGAAAGATAGCTGCCATGTTCCTACATCTGACAGGAAATGATCCGCAGTGTGTGCATAGTCACTTTACACTTAGTAAAGGTCTCATGATGGCTTTGGAGTGGTCTTCTCCAATAGCTCTACAACCGCATGACGTTCCCATAATCTCGCCTCGTCCAATGGTGTCCTGCCATTCTAAACACAAGACAGTTGCAATATACACATAACACACCTATCAGTATATACATCATGTCATACAGGTACTGTGCAGTTGTGCTCGGTGAAATCCCACCCAAAGTACATTATTTGGTGCCATGAACTCGCACAGCCCTAGACGCCCAGGATGTGATAAAAATGCAACTGGACATACACATGTGCAAATGCAGTGATGTAGTTAGAACTGGTCTAGGGTGTCAGCTTTGCACTTTAGGCCGGATTTCGATACTCACAACTGTACTTGGTCACTGTCTTAATCTGACCCCTCCCGGGTGATTCAGGAGAAATTTCGGAGTTTGTGTTTTTGCCGCTTGGATTTTTTGGCCTTTTATCCTGCATTCCTTGCATTCCCAACTCATCACAACCACGCGCTCTTCAGCCGAACCATACAGACACCAGCAAGGACACTTCCGTTGAGAGATAATATTATTGCTCCACGCCTCTAGACAGCTGTTTCGCTCCCTGTCGGAGCTCATCAGTAGAGGATGATAATGATGATAATGGAGAAATGATCATTCTTATACACCAGAAATGGCGCAAGTGCACGCTTTCCACATATATCAATGGCATATGCAAGCTGCTAAAATGGTAAAGTGTGAGAACAGCGATAAATAATCATAGTACGCGCTCATTGGTGGAGAAACACACCATACAAGCGACGAAAATCTTACGCGGAATACTGATGCCAATGGAAAGTACATGTATGTTGTTTATTATTATGATGTCGCAATGTCCATGTATGCAGGCGAGGCGAGACTCACCGCCGAGATCCCCCAACGCGACAGGCTCGGTTGCCGTTCAGGATTCACACCGACCTGTCCGCCCGTCAACAGGATCGACAGCGGGAGGCCCCACTGATGGCGATGTCGATGCACACCAGGAAAATAACTTGTAGTCGTGAATGTGATACTAACAGGTCTAGTAGCAACCACTGACAAACGAGAGGCCAGCTGGGGCATTCACTCCAGTCAGGGATGCTTGGTCGACGCTTCGTATCAGCAGCTCAGCTCAGTTTGATCAAAGATGTTGCAGATGTGTCTTGCTTTCCTCCTTCCTTCTTCATAGACTCGTCTTGTCATCTCTCCTTCTTTCTTCACCGACTCTTCGTGTCCACTCTGCTCTGCCACTAACGGCGCTCTGCCAAGCATCCCTGACTGGAGTGAATGCCCCAGCTGGCCTCTCGTTTGTCAGTGGTTGCTACTAGACCTGTTAGTATCACACTCACGACTACAAGTTAGTTTCCTGGTGTGCATCGACATCGGCATCAGTGGGGCCTCCTGCTGTCGATCCTGTTGACGGGCGGACAGGTCGGTGTGAATCCTGAACGGCAACCGAGCCTGTCGCGTTGTGGGATCTCGGCGGTGAGTCTCGCCTTGTCTGCATACATGGACATTGCAACATCATAATAATAAACAACATACATGTACTTTCCATTGGCATCAGTATTCCGCGTAAGATTTTCGTCGCTTGTGTGGTGTGTTTCTCCACCAATGAGCGCGTACTATGATTATTTATCGCGTTTCTCACACTTTACCATTTTAGCAGCTTGCATATGCCATTGATATATGAGCCGCAATCAGCGAAAACGACCCTTAGAGGTTTCGTAATTTTTTAAAGAAAAAGGTCGATTTGTGACGTTCAACGATTTTTTGATCGCGCTGCAAACAGCGCGACGAGTTCTTCTTGAACTCCTTGCTTGAATTTATTTGAAGTAAATTTAGTTAGTTAGTTGAAGTGGTGTCGAGTGGCGACTCGAGTGTTCCTTGATCTTGTTGCGATGGCTGCGGACGCCAGAGCTGTTCGCAGAGCACACGCGGCAACCATTGTGTACAGCTAGCTCGAGCCTGGTGGGGAGGGGATGCTGAAGTAGCCGCTGAAGTTCAGAGTGAGGATGAGACGTTTTTTTGGTTCCGACATCGATTTCGACAGCGAGGCGGAATCGCAGCCGTCATCTCCTGCTGCGTTGCGGCTCAAGGTGGTCGATGACTCGTTAGAGTCGGAAGATGAGGAGTCATCACCTGAGATAAATTCTAAGTCTGGGGCTAGTGACGGCAGCGACGTCGTGTCGTCAGCTGCGGAGGAAGAAATGGAAGACATTGCGGAACGACTCCACGCAGGATGCAGCTGCAAATAAGTCGATCATTTCTCCGCACTCTTCAGCTATTCTTTGTCATTCTAGCTGCTTACTGCACTATTTCAAAGGTATTCAAGCTGCCTACCCACCTTAGAATGCTGAATATTTATTGTATACATACATCGTATACATACATTGCACCAATTTGGAGTACACCTTGTATATTGGTGTATACACCCGTTTTGAATCGGAATATTGAACTTTTTCTTGGCTGAGGTCCTTCAGTAGATGTGTTTCAACAAATTTCTAACCAAAAAGGAAGTTTGAAAAATTTGACCCTAAGGGCTGTTTTCGCTGGTTGAGGCCCATATGTGGAAAGCGCGCACTTGCGCCATTTCTGGTGTATAAGAATGATCATTTCTCCATTATCATCATTATCATCCTCTACTGATGAGCTCCGACAGGGAGCGAAACAGCTGTCTAGAGGCGTGGAGCAATAATATTATCTCTCAACGGAAGTGTCCTTGCTGGTGTCTGTATGGTTCGGCTGAAGAGCGCGTGGTTGTGATGAGTTGGGAATGCAATGAATTGAAAATATGGCCGAAAGCTCTGTCGCAATATTTAGTTCTGAAGTTTTATCCTGCATTTGTAATTTAATATCGTAGTAGTAATGCAGGTTCAGTGAAACCCGGCCAGTTCACGCGGTTGCAGATTCGTAGTACATACCTCGTACGGTATAACTTCCTTATGATCGGGAGAAAAGTTGCCGTAAACTGAATCCGCCCAGGGCCAAACCAAGCGGAGTTTCCCATGCACTCTGCAAATTAAATGGCACTCACGGCGTCTCCGACATGTTGATGTAGAGTGATGCAAGAAACAAAAGTAGGAGGAAGGCATGCAGAAGACTTAGTTTCCGTGCTTCTGTTCTTTGCCCGCGAAACCAGTTTGTGCAGCTGGTATTTACATTGCATGATTGCCATTAGTGTACAGACATACATGTACACTTATACCTCGGTTATCCAGACCCCAAAGTTACGGGCATTTCAGGCTACCAGACACCCTTTGGGCGAGTTTAAGTGGAAATGTTACTTCTCGTTTGGCAATTTTTGTGGAAAAAGTGGCGACATATGCCATATCTATGGCCATTCCCCGTCAAAATGTATGTGATTCGGAGTTACGTACATTTCGAAATTACGAGCAGTGCCCGGATAAACAAGTTATGAGTGTATTTCATATTGTTGGATCATTGTGTCGTTGTACAAATTGGATCAACGCCCAGGATGTGGTATGAATGCGGCTAGACGTACACATATGCAAGTGCAGTGATGTGATCGGAACAGGTCCAAGCCAATTTTGGAGTTTGTGCTTTTGCCACTTTCAAAATGGATTTTTTTTGCTTTTATCCTGCATGTATAATTTAATATCGTACTCGTAATGCAGGTTCAGTGAAACCCGGCCAGTTCACGCAGCTACACATTCGTAGTACATATCTCGTACTGTGTTACTGTCTAATGATCTGGAGAAAAGTTTCCGTCAACTGAATCCGCCGAGGGCCAAACCAAGCGGAGTTTAGCATGCACTCTGCAAACAGAATGGCACTCACGACGTCTCCGACATGTTGATATAAAGTGGCGCAAGAAATAACAGGAGGAGGAAGGCATGCAGAAGTCTTAGCTTCCGTGCTTCTATTCTTTTCTCGCGAAACCAGTTTGTGCAGCTGGTGCACCTAAACCCGACGCGAGGGTTCATGTGTGGAAATCCTGTATTCACATCTGGGAGTCTCGAGGTCATGTATGCACAGCCTACTATCCATGAGGATGGAGCCTACGCTGCCCTAGCCTGCAACAATGTAAGTGTTAGGTACCTCCGCCCGTACAGTATACCCTTTTCCCCTAGCTGGCCTGCATGCACCCGTACTACGTCACACTCACCTTTCGTTCCGCTGGCGCACAAGAGCAGTATATACGCAGAATGTAGCGCCAAAAAAGATGCGAATTATGTCACCTAGTATGCAGAAGGGGGGGGGGCGGAGAGAGAGAGAAGGCGCAACTAGCACATCACGGAGGAGAAGCAGCAGAAGGTAGCGCGCATTGTGCTCTGTGAATGGCGTTCCGCAGAGTGTAGCGCCAAAAAATGAAATGATGCGAGTTATGTCACCTCTATACAGAGGGGGGAGAGAAGGTGCAACTGTGCACATCACGGAGAAGAAGAGCGCGCCGTTGTGCTCTACGAAGTGAGGGCACATGCCAAATAATATTATTATGGTGTTAATTCTAGCACAGGAGGGGAGCACGGAGCCCCATGTGTCAATGCACTATGAGGTTAAACTTCCATGCCAAACTGTTACCACCAGGGACGCGACGAGGCATCAGGAACAGAATGGATTTGAGTGACCCGCCTCATATTATAATTATTCAGTGATATTGAAGTAGCAGCAGGGGAAGCTGAGAAAAATTCACAACAAATCCCATCCGGTGCTTATGTTCACATGGGGCTTGGCATCACGAATCTCAATCGCCTCGCGCAGTTTGCGACGGACTCGATCAGGCTCTCTTCCTATCACTTCAACTGCGGAGAATGCACTTTGCCCATAGTTAAGCTTAAATCCAGGGTGAGTGGTACGAAAATGTTGGCCCCATGGCTTGTCGAGTTCCTGTCGTCTTGCCTCACCGTTATGTTCTTCCAGGCGAGTTTCCAGAAAGCGGCCAGTCTCACCAACATAATTGTTCCGGACATTCTTTGCACTTCAGCTGATATACAACATTCTTCTGCATACATACATCCTGTCCCCCGGATATACACGAGATACACGGCCCCTTTGGGCGACCTCTCTTTTTCGGTTGTAGTGGATTTGCAGCCTTGACACATAGAGGAGGAACGAGGGCGGAGCGACACAATGTGCGCCTCAGGCTACCAGTGTGCTCATATACGACTCTAACCGGAATTTTATACTTTCTGATTGCTTTATTCACTGCTTGATGTACTTTATCTGACTTATATGGAAGCTTTAGAAATGCGCAGCATGGGTTGGCATGGTGACGACGCTTTGGCCTTATGGAGGCAGTGCGTGCCTCTTCAATGATTCTCTCTGGGTAATTGTTCAATCTTAATTGTTCATGAACCCTCGCTTCACTTTCTGCACGCATTCTGGTATTCGATGAGAGCCTCTGAGCTCTTAGGAATTGTGACGAAGCAACTGCCATTTGATATGGTGGGGAACTGCCGAAGTATAATCAATGAGTAGACCACTAGCACATGCCTTCTGGTACAGCTTGTATGCCAGCTTGCCTTCCTGGATCATAATTGTGATATCCATATAATTTATGGAGCCACTCACCTCGCTGAGCTCATATGTGAAGTTGATACTTGGGTGTGCACAGTTGAAATGCTGCACAAACCGCATCAAGCTCTCTCTGCCGTGGGTCCATAGCAGCAGGATATCGTCGATGTAGCGTTTGTAGAGGAGCGGTACTAACGGAGAATCCTGCAGAAGCCTGGCCTCAACCGTATGCATGAATAGAATCGCAAATGGGGGTGCAAGATTGTTACCCATTGCAACCCCGTCCACTTGGCGATAGATCTGATGGCCGAATCTGAAATAGTTGTGGCTGAGAACAAACAGCAGCAGATTCCGTACCCCGCTCACACTCAGCCCAAACATGTCGATCCGCTGGGAATACTGCTGCAGCATATCCACCACTGCCTGAACGCCCTCCCGAATAGGTATGCTCGGATATAACCCGACTACATCCATGGACATAACAATGGTGCCATCGGGGGCGTTCAATCCCGGACATGCGTCACAGATGTGGGTTATTGCTTCCGTCGTGTTAGCCAGGTGGGCTGGGACAAATTGAATGAGCTGCTGTAGGATGCGCTCCAATACAATAGATACTCCAGTCGTTGGGCTGTCGCACGCTGCTACCACGGGTCGCAATGGTAAGTTCTGCTTATGGTCCTTTGGAAGACCGTACCACTCCGGGAACTTCGTACTGCTTGGTAGGATTGACTTTAGGAGTTTTGAATCCATGTTCTTGCACTCTGACAGTATTACTTCTCGAGTCTTGGTCTCGTAGGATCAACGGCTAATTATTCAATGAATTATTACAGTACTGGAGATCAAGCACCGGCGAGGACACTGGGAACACAAGATTTAACAACAACAACAACAACAACAACAATGGTAACAATTTACCATCAAGATCAAAGGAGGAGTCAACGAACAGAGGTTAAACAACATGAAGCGAGCCTGGGATCGATCGGTGTTGATGAGGAGAATGACACGGAGGACGACACTGAGGACGAGTTGGGAGATGAGACGGAGGACGAGATTGCGGTTGTTGGAGACGAGGAATCAGATGGTGATTGTGATCGAAAGAAGTCTGCCGTTTTTCTTCACTTGTTGTCTCACCCTAAGTGTCTGCAGGTGTATGATGATTTTAGTTTTTCTGTTCTTTGTCGTGCACGGTATGCTAGTCAGTTGAAAGTACTTGAGGCTGTTTGTATTCGTTTGCATAAGCCTGATCTTTGTAAGCAGAAGAAACATGTAGTTGCGTTAAATTTGTTTTCGTAGGTGCACAGCATGATTGTTTGTCTCACTACACAGTTCTAGTGTTGCAATTAGTTCCTCACCCCTGTTGCACTTAGCTCTCACTTCACTTCTATTGTCTCACCTTCCCTCATTCTATTATGGCACTGTATTTTGTTCTCGTAACACATCATTGAATGAAGTAGTGGTTGCGACTTCGGCGATAATTTGTAAGAAAATGTTTGCTCCCCACACCGGAGCTCGCGCTATTCCGCCGACTTTACTTGACACTTGACTGACTCACGACTGCAATCCAGAGCACACGAGAAGTCCATCGAACCTTCGACTCGGCAAACCTGCAAGAAAGCACCACTCCCTGCTCAATACACAGTGTTTCGGGGAATTCACCCCTCATCAGTTGAGCTTGAGTAGGCTGAGGAAGATTGTGCCTGAAGAGCACCACTTATATAGTGCTCTCCAGGCACAAACATCACCAGGGATACAAACTTACAGAGACGCTCCGTTTCCAGCGCGACAAACACCTTGTGAACACCAGATAGCAGCGTGAGTCAGTGTCGCTCCTGGACGGTGAGACAGACGTCGAGGACCCTCGGTCATTCGCAACGCTGTCACCTCCAAACCAACTAGTCGCAAGCCCGCGCTGGGCACAACAGTACGAAGTAGTGGTTGCGACTTCGGCGATAATTTGTAAGAAAGGGTTTGCTCCCCACACCGGAGCTCGCGCTATTCCGCCGACTTTACTTGACACTTGACTGACTCACGACTGCAATCCAGAGCACACGAGAAGTCCATCGAACCTTCGACTCGGCAAACCTGCAAGAAAGCACCACTCCCTGCTCAATACACAGTGTTTCGGGGAATTCACCCCTCATCAGTTGAGTACTGTTGTGCCCAGCGCGGGCTTGCGACTAGTTGGTTTGGAGGTGACAGCGTTGAGAATGACGGAGGGTCCTCGACGTCTGTCTCACCGTCCAGGAGCGACACTGACTCACGCTGCTATCTGGTGTTCACGAGGTGTTTGTCGCGCTGGAAACGGAGCGTCTCTGTAAGTTTGTATCCCTGGTGATGTTTGTGCCTGGAGAGCACTATATAAGTGGTGCTCTTCAGGCACAATCTTCCTCAGCCTACTCAAGCTCAACTGATGAGGGGTGAATTCCCCGAAACACTGTGTATTGAGCAGGGAGTGGTGCTTTCTTGCAGGTTTGCCGAGTCGAAGGTTCGATGGACTTCTCGTGTGCTCTGGATTGCAGTCGTGAGTCAGTCAAGTGTCAAGTAAAGTCGGCAGAATAGCGCGAGCTCCGGTGTGGGGAGCAAACCCTTTCTTACACATCATTGAATGTATATTAATTTTAATCATTGTTCAGCATGGTTACTCTTCAGTCACGACTTTCCACTGATGAATGTGACAAGAAAATTAATTCTGGTTAACTTTCATGACTTCGTTGTAGTGTGGCGATGACTGCAGAGTTTGTTCTCTTTATTGCTATTATAAAATTGTTGTCTCCACGTCGATTATTTGCATATAATATACTACACAAGCATTGTTGTATCAGTGTGTAACAATGTACAGCACTTTATAAATGCAACCATGATATCACCTTGCAGTGGGTGATCTAAGAACGAGAACAGCTAGAGCTATGCAGTTGTATCCTTTGAGCATTACGCGACACGCGCAGTTGCATGAATGGACTACACGTCCTGGCAAGCGTTCTACGCCGGCTGTGATGGCATGCTAATCTATATCAGCTCCTACATGTCGTCAATACTTTTTTAAATTGAAGCCCGGTTTGCGATTTTCGACACCGACTCCCTCCCGCCCCCCCCCCCCCCCAAACGTACATGTATGCTCTTCGTTTCAGGGGCTTCTGCGAACTTTTGCGATGGTCCCTAAAGTGTGATGTTCTAGAGCTTCAATGAATTATGCTTTTGCTCTAGCTCTCTAAGTTGCTGTATTTTGACATTTTTCCATTATTCCCTGCACTTACCCATGATGAGAAGGAAACGAAAACGTTCAGTTACTGAGAGAATTGGCTTTACTTGACTGTGTGGATTGCGTCGGTGGAAAGAAAGAAGGAAATATTTTAAAAGGAAGAATAAGACATAAGAAAGAGGAGGCGCCGGTGATACACTGAGAGCTAGGCTACCAACGGATTATGATCACGAAATCATGGAACTATGCTTTCATGGATTCTCGCATTATGCTCGCAAAATCCTCATATTATGCTTTGGCACGCAGGGATACATTATTCACTTTGTTGTACTTGTGGAGCCTCAAAGTTCGGAAAATTGTGTCTTTTTCGTACTTGCAAGTGGCCATAAGTACAACAAAATACATGAGTATCCCCATACCAAGGTGTCCGTGCATGCTAGAGATCAACATGGAAAAGAAAAAAAACATTTCTTCTTCTTTTGTTCATTGGCAAATCAGTTCGAGTTACATATACCTTCGAAAATAATCATGTTCAATTGTCTTCGTAATCGCCATACTTACTCGTCCAACTGATGTCACCCTCATCATGCGAATAATCAGCTCATCTCTCCCTGAACATGATAACTTTTTCGAAGGTACATGTAACTCAAACTGACCAGGTTAAGCTCCATCTCTCCTTCCATCATGACCGAACATCAACTATACCTCAATTTTTTTTAATTATTAGAGCAATTTCCATAGCCTGCTCAGTCATGGCTGCTAAAATTCAGAGGTCATGACTTCATAACAAGCATAATGTACATGCGCGCGGAGTTTTGCGGACTACATGTACCCATCACTATCTCATCTGCCCCAGGGTACCTGATAAAGGCTGATTCTGTAGCCGTTACACTTTCTTCTGCCTTCCTATCACTGCACCTCTTGTACGCGCCTATCACTGCACAGCTTGTGCGCGTCCATCAGTTGCACAGCTTGTGCACGCCTATCAGTTGCACAGCTTGTGTGCGCCTATCAGTTGCACAGCTTGTGCACGCCTATCAGTTGCACAGCTTGTGCACGCCTATCAGTTGCACAGCTTGTGCGCACCTATCACTATCAGTTTCACAGCTTGTGCACGCCTATCAGTTGCACAGCTTGTGCAACTTCTAGCACTTACTATTCACGGCTACCTTTAGCACGGTGCTAAAGGTAGCCGTGAATAACAGGTGGCCGCCACCTGTTATTCTACTTACTGTATAAAACTGCTTTTTTACTAATAGAGAGACGGATTATTCCTCAGCCGACTAAGTGAGACGTTTACTTCCTCCGTTAACAAAAACTTCGTGATGGATTTTTGAGGGGCTGATTTGGGCACAAACTGCCGTGCAATGAGTCGCAATCACTTTCTCGGCCTTCCCTGGCATGCCATGAAAGCAGTACAATGCAAGGAAATCGACCTTTCACAACAAGTCGAGCGGAATCGATGGTTGCGCTGTGGAAACGTAGGTGATGACAGTCATGGCGAGCGAAACTGAAATACCACTTCTCCGAGGGGATATTGCGCTGCTTGGCCTCTCTACCACTTTGGCACTAAGTGAGTTGGAGAGCGATAGAGAGCGATAAAACGGAGCAGCGAGCCCACATAATGAGCGAGTGAACAAGGGCTGCTCCGATCGCACGGCTCAATGAAAACTAATTCTGAACTCAAGTTCTTGTTCAAACTGCGCAAAGACAAGATTCGAATGATGATCACCATGCATTCTTTCAGAAGTCTGCAGTCCGATGCGAGTCTCATGGCTAAAGAAAGTCGACTGGACTTGCTAGCCGCTGCCGTTCAGTGCTTGCAGGGGTATCCATTAGAGAAAATGGAACCAGTTTGGCTGTGCCTTTACTCCTCGTTTCCCGGAGTTCTGGAGAGCGAAGATGAAACCAGGGAGTCGTAAAATATTTTTCACGACTCCCTTGTGGAAACGAGTAATCGCCATCGCGGCGGATCACGCAGCTTGAAAGCCAACTTACTTGAACGACGGCGACATCAAGGTCAGCAGAGTGTGATCAAAGAAGCCGAGGCAAGGCTGAAACGAGCTGAACAACGACTCGAGAGAGATGACGACTCGCGTGCAGCAGATGACGACTCGGGGGCAGCAGATGACGACAGCGACGCAGGTCAAAAATGAGTCGAGCGAAAGCGACGCAAACTGAACTCTCTGCTCTTTCCTCCAACAGTTTCTCTTGAAAAGACGCTGTACATAGGCCGATTCACCTTCGTCTAGTGATTTGCAGTCGATACAAACTGTTCTTGACCTGTTCTAAGCGTTTTCATATCCATCAAAATCCATCACGAAGTTTTTGTTAACGGAGGAAGTACATTGGTAGCAAGAGGATGGTTACCTTCAGTTTGCACTGGTTCCTTCTAGTGCTTGCTTTCTTATCGCTCCTGGTACTCGGTTTACTGGGTTTCGCGCTGTTCGGGAGCTGCTGCGAGTTGCTAGGCTACTAGCCAACGGTCCAACGCTAGCAACAGCACCTCTGGCTCCTTGGGAAGGTATCGGAGCCGCGGTCCAGAATCGGC